GTCGCCGCCCGATATTAAGGGTGCAGTTGTATCAATTTGTCCATCCATACGTACATGCCTCCGCTCTCTTTTGGTGTCGTCTACGCGTGATTTTTACCGAGTGCTCGGCAAGGGTGCTCGGCGTTTCGCGGTTTCGCCGTTTCGCAAGATTTCTCCGCCCTTTGTCGACTGTTTTGATTATTTTTGGTGTTCCGTCGTCGCCTTTAGTTTTTGCTGTTTTTCCGTCCTCTTCGCCGTGACAGGCGCGCGGCAATGCCAGCCGTGTGTGCGGCCGTAGGTTGTTTCAACTCATCCCGGAGAGACAGCCCGTTTCACGTTCACGCTTTTCCTTCCGACCCCCGGATTGCGAAGTTATGGGTCTCCGCCATACAGAGAGACAATTTCACGCCCAGCAAGTGGAGCGTGCTCTGTTCGGCGCATTTTACGGCCGATGCTTACAATGACAAAGTATGGCTTATGAAGAATATGGGCATGGACTACAAGCCACGACTGAAGCAAGACGCTGTGCCAACCATTTTCTCACACAAGAGGAGACAACCTCAGCGCACACCGGGTGCATTTGCGAAGAGAAGGCGGATGAAGGTAAGCCGCATTAGATCAGACTTCTAGAACCGTGATTTTTGCGGGTTATGCTTGCTCTCGAACGGTGCTCGCTGGCCAGACTCGCAACTTCGCCCGCGTTGCCGTTGCATAACAGTTTCAAGCGCACATTCAAGCACCGGCAGCTGTTGAGACGTCATGCCCGCGTCTCGGCAGACGGGTTTCAGAGTAAAGTTTGAGCGTGGGAAACGCCCTGAGCGCGAAGTGCACTGAATGAGACGGATATTTTTGTCGGATGGCACTTGAATGCTCGGTAAGCACGCCGTCGATCGGCTCTTTTAACACAGTCTCGAAATAACAGATAAGAGAGATGCGAGTTCTGAAACAGCAGTTCGCACGACATTTGTTCAATGCTGTGAACGAGAAATGCTGAAGCGGGTAAAAACTACACCACAAACAATGCAGCAAACCTTTGGTAGATTTCTGAGGCAATTACCTGTCCAATCTTCTCTTCAACTATAAGCTTTAGAGCATCTGCATACCTTGATTTTCGATATGTTGAGGGCAGCGGGTTCGTCGGTTGTCTTAGAGTAACTTTTTGTGGCAAAGTATTATTATTGATCAGATAGAAAACATTTAAATGAAACATATTGTTTGAGGTCTCTAATTATTTTACCTTACTTCATGTTGAGTTATTCCCAGTCTCAGACTCTCTGTACTTCGACATAAATGTTGCGAAACTGCCCCTGATCAGATTCACATTTGTTTTTCAGATTGTTTCACAGCTTCTCTCGGCACCGGCTGGACCCTCCACAAGCTGCTCTGTTGCTCTACAAATACCGGCAGAGCCGATGACTGAGGCCATAATCTGCACCAAGCCAGTGGCTGGGGGGGCAGCGGAGGGCGATTGTCCAGATGCGAGTGCTCCCCTGGACTTCAGTGTTCCCCGTGTGAACAGCGACACCTCGAAGCCCTCTAAGCTTGATAAAAGTGTGCAGGTGTTGGTGAGGCCAGGGACAAAGTCTACACACACTCAAGCAAGGGCTCCTGCACGATACATTGGTATGAGAGTGAGGCAGTGAACGTGCATTTCAGCAAAATATGTACAGATTATGTGTATAGACCATTCTGTAAATATTCAGTGCTCCAACTATCTTCTCAATTTGTTGTTATAGTAATCTAATTCGTCGTGCCAGAAGGTTTACCCACGAATAGAAGATGCGGTTAATTTTGTTGACATTTTGGCGATTGTAGAACGCAAAGGCGGCAGAACGGTAACAAAACGGTACATACCAGCTTTGTCATGTGTTCTTTCTGCTTTCTTTGTGTTCTGAAGCCAAAATTGTAAGAGGGGAAGTGATTGTGTTGCTTCCAGAAGCGTACGACTATGCCTGACCATACGTCGGAAGACTCCTAAAAGCTGTCACGTCATGCGGAACAATGTGGTATCGTTGAGTATTAATTTAACCATAAAAAACACAATATTTGCAAGTCCTGCCGTGGCATAAATTATACTGCACATCTATTCTCTGCAGAAAGCTGGATTTTTGGGTGGCATAGATAATGGTTTCATTTCACGACATATCTTGAACCAAAAGTTAATCAGCCAGAGTAGATGCATTTCTTCATTTGTAAGAACTTAGATTTTTTAACTTCATCTTTTGTGCATAATCTATATGTTCTACTTGTTTACTTTCCAGGGGTGCAGACGTTCTTCCCATGCACCGATGCAGCTTGCCAGACAAGTCAATGGAAACCGAAAAAAAGCTGATCCAGGGGAGAGTTGTGACGAGTTGGCCGAACCAGACAGGGAAGATCCTGGAGCGAAGGATGACAAGGATTACATCCCCTCAGAGGAGTATTGAGAAAGGTATGCATAGTGAACACAAATGGAAACCACACAATGGTAACCCAAATTAAGACTTCCCCCTTGCTACTTTAAATACATTTTTCCTTGAAGGACTTAACTTTCTGTTTGGGCCCACTTCCTAAGATGAGTTTGGGGCCCCTTGGTTCAAATGCTTTCATTCCTTCTTGATGCAGCTTCGCAGAGCCACACACTGCTCCCGATAACAATCGGGTGTTCTTGGTAGCAGAGGTCCAATTTCGGCAGCTGTTCAAGGTGTGCCCGAAGTGCTATGCCAGCTGTCAAGTCTCCATCAAGTGTGAGGGAACTGTGGTTGAAGTCGTTTCCAAGTGCCCGGCAGACCACCACAGCTACTGGGTCAACCAGGATGTGGTCAACCAGCAGCCTCTCCTCAACTTGCTGCTGTGTGCAGGGATCCTGTTTGCAGGATGTAACCCCACAGCCTCTCTCAGAACACTGTCAAGTATTGGCGTGCAAGTGGTCTGCGAGAAGACATTCTTCAACTTGCAGCGAGATCACCTCCAGTCAGCTATTGACACACTGAGAATTGACATAATTCTGCTCTGTAATGTTGTTAGCAAAAAACACTAACACCCCAGTTATTGCTGAGTTTCAAGTTTTAAATTCAACAAATGCTGAAAAACACACACATAAACTATGCTATTTATTCTGCAGGTGTGGAGCCAAGAACACGCAGCACTGTTGGACCAGGCAAAGAACCGTCCCCTAAAGCTGGCCGGAGAAGGTCGGGCAGACTCGCCAGGATTTAGTGACAAATATGGCACTTCCTCTGTGCTCGACCTGGACACAAACAAGATTGTTCACTTCGAGCTTGTGCAGGTATGAATGTCACATTCTGTATACGTTTCAACATTCATTGTAATAAGAAGAAAATTTTGCCACCTTTGATTATTTGTATTTGAAATGACAATACAAAAGGAACATATTGTTCAGAGCGTTTGTTTCGTGAAGTCTAATGAGCCAGGCATTTTTAGTGTAGGTTGCTATGCATGTTGGCAGACAAAGCAAGCAAAATCTTGTAATAACGTTGTTTCACTAAAGCAACAAACACCGATTTTAACTCGGCGACATCACAAAGTTCCTTGTCGCTGATCCTGTCCCACTGTAACGGCCAACACCCCCACAAACGCCGACAAACATTGACAAACAATCGACGACTGACAAGTTCTTGTTTGTCGTTGAACTTGAAGCGCCACGAGCAGTCCCACCGAGAAGCATCTCTTGGCGACAAACTTATCCTCCTCGCCTGCTTGTACCCTCTGTCGCCTCTTGTGCCACCCTCGTTCCTTCCGTGGCTCACTTTGCCACTTGACCTTCTAAGAAAGCCTTCACGGCCACTCATCGTTCCCGCATTTCCTGTTCCTCGGTGGCTCTTATGGCGATTCACACACTTGCATGGAGTCCGACCGAGTGCCAGGGTTGCTATGACAATATCTGTGCCGGCTCCAACAAAACGGGGCAAAAAACTGGTTTTGTTGGAGCCGACGCAGCTGTTGCCATAGCAATCCTTGGCCTAGGTCAAACTCAACGCAAGTGTGTGAATCGCCCATTAGTGCTCGTGGCTTGCTCGCTGGCGGTCTTGCTGCAAAAGGGGATTTGCTGTGGCTGGTTTTGCTCGCATAAATCTGGTCCACGAGGTGGTACTTCATGATGCCGAGGAATACGCCCTGGCATCAAGATGGATACGCTGACGCTCGAGGACTGACCATTGTAAGACCACTCACTACAAAGTCGGACACGACGTTCCGGCGAGCCATTCCGGCAAACAAGAGACTTGTCATCATGTTCTGTGATAGTCGTAGTGCCGTAAGTGACCCAAAAAATGGCTGTCCTCGATCATTTGAATATAAACACCCCTGAAATCAGCGTGAAGTCCGTGGCACTCGCCTCGAATGCCTCAAATGACCCAAACAACTTCCGATTCGGCAATTCTCGTTTGTAAAAAGTTTTGTGGCTATTTTCATGACGATTTGCAGAAAGTCGCCAACAGCAAAGGAAGACTATCAGAAGCTTTAATTAATAAAGAAAGTAACCGTGTCTGTCAAGGTGTTTTCTGCCCAAAGAGCGGAACACGAAAACCGCATCCCCCGAATGTTTGTCTGTCTATTTTGAAGTGTTTTCTTGACTACTTCAGTCTCACTAGGAAACAAGTTTCCTCGTCCCCATGTTCTGCGTCGTGTCTGGCAGGTGGGGCGGCAGACTCCGACAAGCAAGCTGTCAATGTCGTTTGTCGCTCGTTGTAGGTCGTTTGTTGCTCTAGTGGGACGCGGCTATAATAACAGCAAAATCTACAAGACAAAATATCTAAAATTAGCTTTAATAATGTAGCAAGGATGATGCAAATGGTCCCAAAATATAGACACCTGGCTACAGCATTGCTTTTTATTATTGCAGTTAGGTAACTATGCCACAGCGACATGCTTTTTTATGCTAAAATAAAATGAAAAGACGAGTCATAATTTTAGTTCTCCATCTGAATGTCTTCATCAGAAAGCGTAATTAGCAAATATGTGCAAGAAGCATCCGAAATTCTAACACTTCTGACATGTTTTTTTTTTTTTTTTGTGCTTTTAATGTGCAGTCTAATGAAGTTGGTGGGAGCGGTCGTATGGAGCTGGCAGGCCTAAAGAGGAGCTTCAGCTTTCTGGAATCCCAGGGCCTGGTTGTTGATCTTTTAGTCACGGACCGTCACGTCCAAGGCAAAGCTTTCATGAAGAAGGAAAAGCCAAATGTCCGCCACGAGTTTGACGTCTGGCACGTTGCAAAAGGTATTGTTTTTCTCTGCTAACATTTTGTCTTACCACCTAAGGATGTCCTCCTCAAGTAAGAATGTAGGAGCTAATGTCACATCAAAAAGTTCAATTAAAATTATTGCTGTGTGCTTTCTAATTGAGGCAATTTCAAACTAAGGCCAGCCTAAGCATGGAAGAAGTAAAAAGCTGTAGAAACCTCTCGGGGACTACATGCGGCCAGTGGGGCTGAGTTGGCATGAACAAGATATAAGAGCATACATAAAATTCTCTGGGGCAAACGTCAAAATGCACTTTATTGTAATTCTATTTTTGGGATTGAGTTGATGTTCATGCAGCACTTAGTGGTTATGTCATGTGGTCCACTGCCCCTCTGGAAGTCTGGTTAAATTGCAGAGCAATTTGATGTCTGCCAGAAGAGAAAACAGTTTACTTGTTTCATCCAACTTAAAGGGAAGCTACGGGGGTTCTTGAAAAAAATGAGTTAGAAGTGAATCCTAGTGTATTTTTACCCCGTGAACCTGAACACCCAAACCATTTGCTGCGCAAGTATTGTTAAACGCGAGAAAACGTGAAAGAGAGTCGCTGTACGTGACGTCATTGACGGATCTTAGGGCTGCCCAAGGCTAGGGAGGCGGGGCTTCAGTTCTATTTGGAAATGGCTCTGATGGCTCTGCGGCACGTCACATTGAAACATAATTGTGATATCTATTATTCTAAAGGCCAAATGAACGCAATTCAAGTGTTTTTACTCAAATGCAGAAGTGCCCCATCATCCGTTTAATAAAAAGCTTCTAGGACACAGACTTTTTATTGCCTTTCTTTTTTTTATTTTATTCATTCTCTCCAGGTATCAAGAAGCAGCTGCTCGCGGCCATTAAGATCCCCGTCTGTGCTGAGCTTGCGCTCTGGAGCAGGCCAATACAAAACCACCTTTACTGGGTGGCAGCTTCCAGCGAAGGGAGTTCGGATCTGATTGTCCCCAAGTGGCTTTCCGCGCTGAACCATGTGCGAGACGTTCACTCTCACCGTGATCCCCGGTTTGCCTCATGTGCCCACGGCGAGCTTGAGCCCAGGGATTGGCTCTCTGATGGTATGTATGGAGCTTTGACATTTGTTGATCTTTTCGACTCATTTAGCATATCATACAAGCTACGTGCATTTTCCCCGACTGTGGCGTTCTCGCTTAGACTCGGCAGCTTTCGAAAAACTGGGAAACATTGTGACGAAGAAGTGCCTGCTTGCTGACCTTCCAAAGCTCTCAACACGCTTCCAGACCTACACTGTGGAGGCGTTCCACAGCCTGATCATCCACTTCTGTCCGAAGTCCTGTCACTACTCGTACAAGGGGATCAAAGCGAGGTAACTAGCAATGCACGAAATGTTTTTTTGGTATGTCAATAGCTGCTAATAGTTGTTTAATTCTTACATAGGGCAATTGGAAGAAATGCAAATATTTAATAAAAGTTATACCTTGTTTTTTATGTGGCTAAAATCGGCACAATCTCGGTTGCATGGAAGCATACTCAGCACAGGGAACCTGCAGCTATCTGCAATATGATTTTACAGATCTCATCTGCATCCTACTCATTTGGCAACAAGCAGGGTGCTAATGCAAGAGCACTTTGATACTAATTGTGTGAAAATCGTTTCGCAATTCCAGAACCAAGCTTGCGATTCTCCATTACAACGAGAACGGCAACAGGCCTTATGCATTCACGGAGGAGGGCGAGGAGCGCTTCAGGGTCAAGTACCCGAAGGCCAATGGAGGAGAAGGAGTGGCAGTGCAAGAAAGAAAGGAGCCAACTCATGGTGTGCATTGAATATCATTCTTGTTTATTTAGCTTACCTGCATCCTTCAAATTTGCATTTTTGAAGTGGAAAATGAAAGTGACCACCGTATTTACTCGAGTAATAGCCGCACTATTTATGAACAAGGCCCTTGCGTCTGCTTTCCCGCAAAACACTTATACACCCAATCATTGCGTTGCGCATAAATTACATAGCGAATAACTAGTTCGAGCACATGATTCTTCACACCAATGGAATCTTCACAGATGGTATCTTTGCGCGAAGATGTTATCTCTATCCTGTAAACCGCTGGAATCATGCTGTCGATTGCGGTGACTGGCGATTCGCGTGCTTCGCGGAAAAGCGAAGCCTCGGGTTTTCTTCATAAACAGTGCAGCTATTACTCGAGTAAGTATGGTACTTGTACAGAATAGTCTGGCCATACATCAAAATTTGTCATGGTCATCAATGCTCGTGTGACGACGGTTCATATGAGAACATTCATTGCGACAATTTGACACTTCTCAAGGGAACAAAAACAAGCAAGTTTTACGAAACCCAACGTTTTTCTTTTGTGTTTTTAGAGCGCAGCTCTTAGGCGCCCCTTTTCCGGCTTGAGCGGCGTCGCCGTCGCCGTCGCCGTCGCCGTCGGCGTCGGCGTAACCGCGCGGTGCATTCTGGGTAAATTTCCCCGCTAAATCTAGCTTCAAAATTTCCCCGCTAAATCTAGCGGACAATATTTCTCCGCTAAATCTAGCGGAAAATGTTCCCCGCTAAATCTTGCGGGAAAAAATTTCCCGGCTAAATCTAGCGGAAAAAGTTTCCCCACTAAATCTAGCGGAAAAATTTCCCCGCTAAATCTAGCGGAAAAAATTTCCCCGCTAAATCTAGCGGAAAAAATTCCCCGCTAAATTTAGCGGTGAAATTTTGGTCACGTGACCCCCTCTCGAGGTCACGTGACCTCGAGGGGGCACGTGATTCCCCCCACGTGACCCCGCCAAGGTCACGTGCCCTCGGGAGGGTCACGTGACTCCCCCCCCCCCCTTCCCCCGAGAACACGTGGCCCTCAGTACCCTTCCCTCCTCCTCCTCAAGAGCTGCGCCCCAATTCGACGTTACAGGGAGTTGTAAACGGCTCCCACTTTTTTTCCATTTTGTCAGACTACGTGAAGAGGCTTCTGGACGTGCTGCGAGAAGGGGCCCAGAGGAAGACTCGTGGCGTCAGTCTCATCACACCCTCAGTGGTTCCGCCGCCGCTCTGCAGCTCTGCAAAGAAAGTTTCCGAGACAGAACTGATTCAAAGGCACAAGACAAGGTTCAAGAAATAAGGTCCGTATGATTTGTGGCGAGGTTCTACAATTAGCAAATTTTGGTTGAATTATCCATCCTAATTTCTGTATTCCCATTGCAGGCCCCTTTTGCAGTTGAGCTGCTTGGCACCTTCCTTGGAGTTAAGTTGTTGCTACTCCCGGTGGTGTGGGAGGCAGGTTCTGCTCCGATGACCTGGAGCGTGGTGGCACGAACGTCGCTGAGTGACGGGTCGACTTGCTGCTTCTCTTGGGCTATGCACATTTTTTTTACACCCGTCCAAGTTGCAACTCTCCACTTGTGAGACCATCCTTCCTTGGCTTAAGTCTCCTGAGATCTCCCCCGTTCCCTTCTTCGAAATCCAACCTTTTTTCTCGCTCACAGACCACACAACCAATCAGTTCAAATGTGACCGGGACTGAACCACTTGCAGAAAAGACCTTCAATTACCATTTCAAAGGACTGCATACCCAAAGCCCCCAACAATTTGCACCCGTCCCCTACTCCGACGCGACAGAGGTGCCGGACCAGAGTCGTCGTAGTGTCCCCCGTGCTAGGCCAGAAACGGGAAAGAAAACATCGGGGTGACCATTTACTCTCCGTAACAAGGCACGTCAATCCCTGGGGCGCTCCCCATGTTGCCCCCTGCCCCCAAAGGTCTTACCGCCGCCGCTGCTTATGCATGCTTCCTTCTCAGCATATAAACCGGGGTAGAGACTTTCTATCTGGGCACTAGCAGTTTGCCATCTTTGTACAAAATGCTGCAGACCCTTCCACTGTAAGCTTGTGTAGATTCATTATGGCATACCAGTATGCCTCATTCAGAGCGTGCGTCCTCGCCTCCTCGCACTGACTGTGCACATGCGGAATTTTTGGTAACCACAGGCCTTTTTTTTTATCTAAACACCAAAGTGAATTGTGAACCTGTGTGCATGCCTTGATTCTCTTAGTGCATATGCCAAAATCCAACATCCTCGAACGGGAACTTGGTGCGAATCCTGTAAACACCACAGCTCGGCAGAATTCAAATTTCCTTCTTGAGACGTTTCCACGTCAGCAGCACAAAGTGCCAGTACGCAGTATATCTCATCTGCCTGAAAGGATGCACAAATGGTAGATTGAGTAAATTACATTGTTTTACACTGTTTATTATAAAACATGATTTTTCGCATTGTGATCCGACACATCATATTGAGGAACACACTTTCAACGCCGAAGTTGGCAATTTGTAAAAACACAGCATTGTGATAGAAGCCTGCCTGTCGTAAGAAGTGTGTCTGCTCTGCACATTGGTCCGATTGCTTACCTGTCATTTGGATACCAAGGTCTGAATCCGTCATGCTTTCTGCTAGCTAGAGCAATCTCCAGGAGTGTCTTGTTTAGGCATGCATGCCTAAATTTTGGTTTCTTCATGTATCGTTTTTGCTTTTGTTTGTTCGTGATTTGTGCTACCCCCTGCTAGCTCATACATTCTTCATCGGTATCTATGCTTATGCGTTCTCCACAAGAACACCTGTTCAATAAAGGAAAGTGTGGAACATTTGTTTTGTGAACTGCTGAGTGCATTTTTTTTTCTACACACACTTTTCCCCATCAAATGTTGGGACATTCAGATAAAATAAGTGCTGGAATTATTTGCTTGTGCCTTCAAGAACAGTTTTCTAAAGAATCAAATCTGTTATACTGAGCATTAAACTGGCACCCCCATCTGGCGAATGTTAGATATATCACAAATCGCCACGCGTGAAGCAGGGTGGCTATGTGGGGCTTTCTTTTACCTTGATGTCGAAAGGTAGCGGTGTGACGTCAGTGAAGCCGGCGCTGCTGATTGACTACAGCCGTTATCCCCGGCGGCTCGAGTCAACCAGGGAAAAGCCCAACATAGCCACCCTGTACAGTCGTGGAAGAACGGCGGCTTGCACGAACCAGCGTCGGAGCTCAGAGTAGGTGAAAGGGTCACGCGAATAAATAGGCAGCGAATCGTGCGCGGATTTATTCCTCTGATAAATTTTTCGCGACCCGTAAATGTGAATGCATGCGGCGGATATATGACAAATATTTCTCCCAAGTACAAAGAGCATAATATTGTCAAACATTCAGGCTCGCCCACCACCGGCGAGCAAAAAGCGGCGCACGCACAGTGCCGCCGCGCGAGTGCCCGTTTCGCTGAATAAAATCGCGACTACCGCCATTTCATTCATCAGAGCCTCGCATCCTCAAGTCTCGCTCTCGCGAGTTCTAACGCAACATAAAAGCACGGGGGCACGTACCAGTCCGTGCTGCCGACGCGGGCGGAGGACGCAACGCCGTTTGCCAGGGACTGGGATCCTCTCGCTGCTCCCCCGGACTCCTGCTTTGTAAAAGGCTCAAACGCGTATGGGGCTACAAAAGGAGTCGTGTCTACTGATCCTCGGAACTTGTCATTCTGGCAGCCAAGAAGGCCTGAACCAGACACTTGAGCCGAGTTCGCGTGCGGCCAGCCGCCCAGCGATACGAGATGACTGCGCAGAGCACGCGGAGAGCTCCTAGTGTGACGTCACGACCGATTCCGCCAATTAAAAGGCGCGGGGCGATTCGCGCTTGTCTTTTCGCTATTTAATGCGTTTGGGGACACTTTTGAGCCAAATTGTTGTGATATTCGGAATCGGGGGATAAAACTACGCTAATATCAACCTCTATCTCTTTTTTTTTTTTTAAGAAGTGTTTCAGCTTCCGTTTAACTGCGGTTAAGGGTGCCCAACAGGCATCCTAAAGCTTAGTTACACTTAAATGTTTAGTAGTTACTGCCAACTATACCTCAGTTTCACGCAACCCCTAAACCCCAGTGAGGTCCGACCTCGGTCACACTTTACTGGGGTCAAGGGCACCATGTAACTATGATATTAGTGGTTCCAGGTGTGCAAACAGTCACGGCGGGATATGGAACCACCGTTTATCGGGGAGAGGAAGAAAATGTTTAAGGATTCTGTCTTTTTATTTTTGATTTCCGTTAACGCTAACGTCATTGAAAGAAAACCTGAAACTTGGAGAAATAAAAAAGGAAACAAACAAACAAACAAAACGAAGAGCACGACACAGGATCTTTTTTTTTATTTGTCCCAGTTTTAGGGTCTTTTTTTTTCAATGACGTTTCCGAACCAACTCGCTTGCGTACTTTCCCTCGTCGCAACACTAACGCACTGACACAAAACGTATTCCCGTTCTGGGGTTCGCTGAACACTCAAGACTTATTGTGGCCACTATTTAATAAAAGTTAGATAATCATTTCATGTTTGTTTTAATATACCATTTGAAAATTTTAAGAGAAAAAGTGCTTTGTGTGTGTTCACGATGCTGAATGCCGAATGCGCGTGAAAGGAGCTTTGACAGGCTTTCAATTACACCTCTCTTCCCGCACCAGCAGGGAGATGATGGCGGCCAGATGCCCTGCTTTAAAATGCGAGTTTCACTCAATCCGATTAACCCCCGAAAACTGCAGCGGCCGCGACGGGCGCTTTGAACCTACACCGTTCATTGCAATCGGCGTGACCCGGGCTTTCTGAAGTCGGAGAATGATTGATGGATCAGCTCCCCCCCCCCCCCCCCCAATCACCCGCTGTCTATTATTAAATTATCGGTTGTAAATTTATTATTTCGGACCTAACTCATTACAAATCGGTCTGTTATTTTTGTTTTGTTTTTTATTTTATTTAAAAAAATTTTTTTGGGCATTACGCAGTCAGAAGTTCAGTCCCATTAGGGCTGAGTGCAGACGTATTTCGGGTCCGATTTCATTTTTATTTCTAATCTGGAAAGACGTCTTTGAGCTCTTTTATCGATACTTCTTTTTAGCGTCCCGCAATCTTGAGAAAATTACGATTTACACTTCTCCGTGATTGACTCAAACTGCACAAATTCGTAGCACCATTCTAAAGATTTTTTTTTAATCTACGTGCGCATTTTTTTAAAATTTAATTTATCTAAAGCGATAGAATGGATGTTGACGATAATTTCGATTTTTTTGCGGCTGCGGTCTAGTGCTTAGACGCTAGGCGTGGTTCCAGTTTATATTTCGCGCTCTCAGAGGAACCTGCACGTTTACTTTTCTGCGATGCGCCCGGGATACCAATCAGCGGTTTTCCTTTGATGAATTCGACAGTCGAGATGTGCGATAGGTAGTATGCTCCGATGACCGCGCGGTTTAAGTTCCAATAAAGGCGTCCACCTCTTTTTCTTATTGAAGGTTAACGATTGAATTCCTAGTGCGTCGCAGAACTATACTCGTGTTCAGGAGCTTCTTACAGCGTTTAATACGACGACGGTAATTGACGTCATAAATATGTCGCATCACGCGCAGGAGAGGAATGTAAAGTTTTGCGTATTAATTGAAAACGAGCGTGTTGGTGAACAGATACGAATACACGAAAGGATAAAACATAGAGGACGGCAACGAATACAGAACTTGTTTCTTGAAAGAAGTTCTGTTTCCGTCCCCGTCCTCCATGTGTTATCCTTTCATGTATCCGTAAATGTTTTGTCGACTTGCGCCGCGACGTTGCAAACTTGACTTCATACGCGTAAAGTCGCGGTCACAGTGCGAGTGCACCACAAAGAAGACAGTGTGCAGTCGTTGTCTGAGGCATTCCTTGTACGGCGCTCCTGCCACGACATTGCTCATTCAAGAAATGTCTGCAGACATGTTGGAAACATTTACATAGATGCAGCAAACTTGTTTCGAACATGCTCGGGCTGTGTCCGTACATGACTATGGAGCGATAAGTTGCTGGAAGTTTGCCATGCCATATGTTTTTAGGCTCTCAGTGACCATAGTAACCTGGATTCTTTCCGGCTTCAGCAAAGGAACCGAGCGAGGTGCATATTTATTTACTTATTTATGTTACGCTTAGTTCCGAAGCATTGTAGAGGGGACGGGCCTTACAAAAACAATACATAAGAATTAAAAAAAAATCAGATTATAATCAACATCAAATAATATACATAAAAGAAACTCTGAATTTTTATATTAGAAATATTATACGAC